TGGAATAAACAATGGCAGATGTGAGAAAATACAGTCGACAGAACTTAAGGAACACAAGTAAACACATCACTACTATAGAACAGGAATCAGGTTTTAAGAGCTTTGCATCACCACTGCTGGACCCAGCATCTGGCAAACAGGGAAGACTCAAATGTATGTTTGCTACCGTGAATGAACACAGATATGAGAAAGCAATCCTATTATAATGGACTGAGTTTCTATAGCATACCCGAAAGCTCTGGTGGTGTGACAGGCTACTAAAGACAATCCTCCGTGTTCAGTACAAAGCTTGCATATGGGGAGTCTGCTAGACCCCTTGTGTTCAGACTTGTCAAAAGTTATTCAGAAATAAACTCAAATTTTAGATATGCTGAATTCTGATGTAAGATGTATGTGTTAGACACAATAGTAATAAATTCCTTCTTTCTAAGCAGCTGCTAATCTGCTAATTTAAATTATACTTTCCGAGGGGAAGACAAAATTGTTATACTGTAGTTAAAAAATAGAAAAAATAAAAAGGAGTTCAAGTTTCTTCAGATCTTGAGATGTTGAATTTAAGACATACATTTATATAATTATAAAAAGCAACTGTTTAAGATTTTATAGTATTTGACACAATTAAATAACAAAAAATTACAAGAAGCTGCAATTTTACAATTAGATATATTACCTCTAATTGGGTATCAATAGTTCACACATATTTCTTCTATGGTTTCAAACAATCAAAATTGAATTTTATGACATCTTAAATGCAGTTTTAATCAAATAACCCACATTACTGAATCATAGATAAACATAATAATTATGTTAAGTCCATCTCAAATTATAGTAATTAACTGCAGTAATAAAGCTTTAGAAGAACAGTTAAATAACAGAATGACTAAATGCTACAGAGCAACAACATACCAGAATACTATAAAACCCATAAAATAGGTGATTTCCATGAGTAATAGTGTGGAGATTTAAACATTACCTGCCTTGTCCCCAGAAGGACTATTAATGGCCTGCAAAAAACCTAATAACCTAGTTGTTGTTGTTTGTTAGCTGCCATGGAGTCAGCCTCCGACTCATGGTGACCCATGCACAATGGGATCAGGCCACTGCGGTTCATAGGGTTTTCACTGAGTGATTTTCAGAAACAGATGGCCAGGCCTTTCTTTCTAGTCTGTCTTACTCTGGAAGCTTCACTGAAACTGTTCAGCGTCACAACAACATGCACGTCTCCACTGTAGCCACTGTACTTCTTAAAATGAGAAAAAGGCAATTGTATAGGAGGACAATACAGTATATCATACTTCTGACACAAGGTTTGCTGAATACTCTAACTTAACCCAGGGAAGAATTTTTAGGAGATCTAGAGCACTGAAAAGATTAAATGCTCTTGAAGAAATCTTGACTAAATTCTGTGTATTTCAGCTGAGCTTTTCAAAGGTTTTGAAAAGCAGAGTCAAGATTATAGTGCCACATGAACACCTAGACTTCTGTGTTAACGATTAAGGGGAGAGACATACGCTTTAATACCTAACCTGGGCTTGAGGAGTTTTGAGAATTCAGAGACAATGATCTATAAGCTAAGATTTGAAAGATGAGCACAGGTTAGCTAGATTTTGGCGGTGGAAGGGAAGTATGATTCAGGTAGGGGGAAAGAGTATGGACAAAAGTCCTGAGGCAAGAAATAGTATGCGATCTATAAAGAGTTACTGTTTGGTGGTCAGGAAACAAAGAGAGGGTGGTGGAGTGAACACAGTAATCAAGAATTGGGCTGGTGAATAAGCTGGGGGTATATCAAGGAGTTTGTGAGTTAGGTTGATTTTGGACTTTATTCTGAGAGCAAAGGGAAATGATTAAAAGTCTAAGCAAGGAAGAAAAATCATCAGGTTTACATTTTAAAAAAAAAAAACCTTTCCTTATCCTGATTAGCACTAATCAAGCATGGTGGAAAGAACAACTTTTTTGCACTCGCTCTTGGGTCCAAATACCAGCTCTACTATTAAATAGTTGTATAATGCTGAATATATTACTTAACTTCACTGAGTTCAATTTTTCTCATCTGCTAAATAAGAATCATACCACCAATTAGAGATGATATTTATAAAAGCTCTGTGCTTAGTGTCTGGCTTACAGTAGGGTCTAAATAAAGAGTAGCTATTATTATCCATTACAATATTATATTATCTACTAGCTAGCTATAAGCAGGAGTCCCTGGGTGGTGCAAATGGTTAAGCAGTCAACTACTAACTGAAAAGTTGGCAGTTCAAACCCACCCAGAGGTAGCTCGGAAGTAAGGCCGGGCAATCTGCTTCCGACAGGTCACAGCCTTGAAAACACTGTAGAGTGCATTTCTACTCTGCACACATGGGATCACGTGAGTCTGAACTGACAATACCAGCTAACAACAGCAACAATAGTCTATAAGCACTTTGAGACCATGATCATCTTGTTTACCACTATATCCCTAGTCTAGCACTGAGCCAACACATAGTATTTTTCAGCAAATGTTTGTCAAATCAATTATTATCTTCATAACTTTTTCAGGTATAGCTACGTTAAGATTGTAGGGGAATCTATACCTGTCTCCTCCTAGTTATTTTAAAGGGACGTTAGAATAACTCTTAAACAGTAAAGGAAGTCTAAGACTAAACTATACACCTCCACAGCAGTAAATAAACGAGTAAACAAGACAGATGGTTTCACACAGGGCTAGTAATGTTATTAGCCAATTTTTATTTTTATGCTTACGCTACTTTAGACATCACCTACTGACTTCCTGTTATAGTAGAGGGAGTTTTAGCTCTCTTACACTGTACCTCCATTCCTCTCACCCTATCCTCCCACTAACTTTTATTCCAACTTTTGGTTAAATTGATTGTAGTTTTTACATTGTTGTGATTAGGGATGTAATAGCCACTGTATAGCTGAGAAATTTACTGTGATAGCTTTATTCTTGTAAAAAATTTTTTTGCTTTTTCTCTTATGTTCCTATTCTTAATCTTTTACATTAGATCTGTTATTTACCTATCAATGGCTTTTTATTCCGAACGCGTCCACTTTATCCGGAAATCTCACTTCTTGTGAGGAAGAGAGGTTTCCTTTCCTATGTCCTCCTGCTCCTGTTAGGCAAGTCCATCAGGCATGCTGCGCAGATGTCATCTTGGGATTCCCCTTTGCTGCATTCCTGTGTCGTACGTAGAGTCTGCCTTCCGACTCATGGCAACACCATGTACAACGGGATCAGACCACTGTGACCCACAGGGTTTTTTCCTAGTTCGTGTGTTTTCTTTTTAAATTACGTTTACTTCCTTTTGTTGGCATATATGGTTCAGTAACTTTCAAAGAAAGGTATATTATTTTCAGTCTTCTGCTGTAGACACTACTGATTACATGATTCAATAGCCATATCCAACCTCCTTTTCTCTTGCACTGTATAATGCTGGAAAAGCTAGAAACCTGCTTTCCCAGCTTCTCCTGAAGGCAGTTCTCAGTTCTTGTCAGTGAAATGTAAGCAGAAGCCTGTTGGGAGCTTTCTGGGAAAGTTTTGATTTGCCTTCGTGTTTTCCACCTGAAATAAGCCACGACGTTTAAGGTGCCTCAGCTGACTTGCCATCCTGAGGCTACAGCCATGTTAAAGAGGCCAAACAGAAAAGAACCTGGCGTCCCTGAAGACACTGTTGAGCCCCTATAGCAGTCTCAGATTGTCTCTCTGGATTTCTTGTTTCGTGAGAGAAACGATTCCCTATTTGTCTGTCAGTTAGTTGTGTTTTCTATTACTTGCAGGCAACATTCCATTGATAAACCTTGAATATCTGAAAGTAACATTTTTTCCCTCTTGTTTCATTGGTGTTTTGGCTAGGAAAATAATTCCAGGTTGATTATCATTTTCCCTCAGAATTTTTAAGACCTTGTTCTTCTATCTTATGGCTCCCAGTGTTGCTGAGAATTTCTTTATCATTCCAAGTCCCTCTCCTTTGAATGTGACCTGCTCTTGCTTTCGGAACTTACAGGATCTCCTCTTTCGGTCTAATATGTGAAACTGTACAATGCACAATCCTGTGCCTTCAGGGTGAGAGGTTTTTTGTTTTTTTTTTTTAATTCAACATACTAACTTCGGAAACCCTAGTGGTGTAGTGCTTAAGTGCTATGGCTGCTAACCAAAAGGTCAGCAGTTTGAATCTACCAGGGACTCCTTGGAAACTCTACAGGGCAGTTCTACTCTGTTCTATAGGGTCACTATGAGTCAGATCGAATTGACTCACCGGCAACGGTTTGGGTGTTTTTTTTGTTTTTAAATACTAACTTCTGATTGTTGTTGTTAGCTGCTGTACACAGAGTCTGCCTTCTGACTCATGGCAACACCAAGTACAATGGGATCAGAACACTGTGATCCACAGGGTTTTCAATGGTTGATTTTTCAGAAGCAAATTGCCAGGCTTTTCTTCCTAGTCCATCTTAGTCTGGATGCTCTGCTGAAACCTGTACAATTGTGCCAGGGCAATGTGCATAAACTGGAACTGACTCAGGCAAACTAGTCACCCTATTACTAGGAGAAAAATTTCTTGGAGGCTGAGCTTATAAACTTTTAAGGTGTTACCAATCATGTGAAGTCCTCCCTTAGAAAAATGACATAGCCTACTATGCCAGAACATAACTTACAGGCCACTACAGTGAAAACAGAAGGTGGAAAGAATCAGAAAACATACAATAATAGTTTTAAGATATTAATTCTTGCAAAGGGTCCCCCACAAGCACACACAGAGAAATAATTCTTTTCAAAATACACATGTTGTTCACAGACATTCTCAAAGGAAATAATAATAGCTCACGTTTTAAAACAGATATAACTGGGTAATTTAGCTGGTAAAGTTTTCTTCCTCTTACTCAGAATTACTTCAATTAAAGAAGTGGGGAAGAGGTGAAGAACAGTTCTATAGAAAGGAAACTGGACTATAGTCTTCTACCTAAAGTAGTTAAGACATAAGAGAAGAATCACTGAATGCCCTTACCCATCCCAGAGTCTTTCTTGGTGCCATCTGATATAATGTCTACATGGTCAGAGTCCACATCGTAACTGAAGAAATCATTCAAATAGGTCTTCGACCGCTGGCCACCAAATACATATAAGCAACGATTTTTCTGAGAAAGAAAAAAAAAAGGGCAAAGAAAGGATAAGGTATTCGCTTCCATGAAGCATTCAGAAACAGCCTTTTAAAATTTAAACCTCTACAAATGTAATTTGCTGATAAATCCCATGTAATGGAGTACTATGCTGATGCAAAAAGAAATGAGGAAGCTCTCTCTATCTACTGCTAAGAGGTGATCTCTAGGATATTCTGTTAAAGTAAAAAAGCATGCTGAAGGGATGTATGTGCATGCTTCTTTTTTCAAAAAGAAATAAAGGGAGGATTAAACCAAAACCTAATAAAAACATAGTTATCTACAGGGGAAAGGACAGAGCAGGAAGATCTCTCCAAATATATCTGATCTTATGGTTTTGACTTTAGAACTATGCATATGTTTTTATTTAATCAGAAAACAAAATTAATTCAAAAGAAAAAAAAATAACCTTAAAGTTTGAGGGGGAAAAGAAACAAACCTATCTGTATAGAAAATGTAGTATAACCACACAGACAAGTAGTATTTTTAGTGATTTTAATTCATACTGTTCTGTCCATTCCTACCAGACTATTCCTAAACAGAAGAATAATCAGAAAGCAATCTGAAACAGCATTCAGTGATTTTGTTGTTGGCTTTGTTATTCTGAAAACTATTATACATAAAATAAGTAATATAATTAGGAAATAGGATTTTCACCTTAAAAGATTCACAAATACAAAATCAAAGACATTAAAATAAAAACCCTGTAAACTTTTATTCGAATTGTACATATATATGTGTGTGTGTATGTATCCTAGCTCTGTCTACCAAAAAAAATTTGGAGACAATGTCAACCCATTAACATAAAACACCCCAACTCTCAGATTTTGGTCCCTAAATATTATTTCCCACTAGAAAATCAGAGGTTCTTGGAGAAACAGTCAATTCTAGGGCTGGGCCAGGAAATGTCCCTGAAAGCATGGAAATTTTCAAAGACTAGGGTCATGTCAAAAGCACACACAAGCCAACTCGAAAGGGCTTCCACTGACCAAACATAAAGGAAAATTTGAATACCAAAAAGAATAATGACAGCATTGGATTAAACATATGAAATGCATAAAAATGCAGGAGTTCCATAAAATTTTTTGAAAAACCTCACTGGTTAACTTTGAAGCATCAACTCATAAATCTGAAAACCAATAAAGGAAAATAATCAAATATTAATACTGTCTATCCTGTATAGTTTACCTTTCAGGGTGACAAAATAGTTGATGAGGGAAAGTTCTTTTCTCTCTCTCTTTCTTTTAATAGTAGAATCAATACAAAAGGAATGATATAATTAGGAAAATCATCATTTTACAAACTCTAAAGAAACCTAGGCAATGAGTATCAATGGCTGCCAAACCGATATGTAAAAGGTTGACAAGAAACTTTGTAACTAATTGGTCAGGATGATAACACCTGAACCCACCGAACAATTTTAACATCACCAAAAGTTATGACAAGTAGACATTAAATGTCTCTTGATACTTTCAAATCAGAGCATGTATGAAGTATTCTTGCACTCCCCTATCCATATGTCTGCAAAAAAAGGAATGTCAATCTAACTACTAACTTACAGGAAATATGGAAGATAGAGAAATATGTTCAATGATACTGTTGTTGTTTTTATGTGGATTCCAACTCATAGTGACCCTATATGACAGAGCAGAACTGCCCCATAGGGTTTCCAAGGCTATAATTTTTACAGAAGCAGATCGCCAGGTCTTTCTTCCCTCAGAGCAGTTAATGGGTTAGAACTGATCTTTCAGTTAGCAGCGAGTACTTAAACATCGTGCCACCAGGGCTCCTTAAATGACACTATAAGGATAAAAGTCAGCCAAATACAGAATGCAGGAAATTCTACAGCACAAATGACTCTGTTTCTTTAAAATTAAGTGGTATGTGAAGGGGGAAAATGAGGAGGGAGTACTGTCCGGGATTAAAAGACTAATCAAGAGACATAATGACCAAATGCATTAGATACACCTTGTTTTGGAATCAGGCTATACAATGGTATTTTTCAGTAAATCAGAAAAACATGAATGCAGACTGAGTATCAAATGCTATTTAAAAACTACTTTTTGGGGGTTGAGTATTATAATGATATTGCAACTTTGTTTTTAAAAAGTCCTTATCTGTTAAGACTCATATACTGTAGTATTTACAAAGGTGATGATACAATGTCTGGGATCTGCTTTAAAGTACTTCAGCATAATAAAATTTAAGAATAAATTTAAAAGTCAAAGAAATAACAAAAAATGAAATGAAGTAAAAGTGAGGTAGATACATGAAAAATGAACAGCAGAATACTGACAACTGTTGAAACAGACAAATGGGTACACAGAAACTTATTCTCTTCTTTCTTTTGTGGTGTATGTTTAAAATATTCTGTAATTTTTTTAAAGCTATTGTTCACAGAAAGATGCACACGTTTCTCATTAAAACATTTGAAAAGGTTAAAAAAAAAGTCTCTAAGTTGCTTTTGGTGATAAATTTTAATTTTAATTCTATAAAGTCAATTCTTAATTCTTCACACCTAATGGTTCTTCCAATTACTGAGAGAAGTCAAGAAGTGGAAAGGCACAAGAAAGGAAAAGAGCTACAATACCTAGGTAAGCAGTGGAGACGTTAGTAACAAGAGTGTTTAGACAATTTTTCAGGTGATAACGATTTAGGAATTACTAGGTCGATGGGAAGAGTCTCATAACTAGCAAACAGTTCCCCGTTACAGGAAAAATTTTCTTCTCTACCACAGCTTCACTGATCATTTATTTCTAATGAAAAGTTCTGATCTTTCCTAAAAAATCAGATTTTATCACTTCTTTTCCTATTGAGATATACTTTACAAAATAACATAATACAATGTACAAAATACTCTTACTGAGTGGAATAGCATGCAGTGTCCTATTCGAGACTGGATGTCCTCAGGCCCAGCATTACAGGAGTCTTCTCGAAGAAGTTTCCAGGTTTGACATTGACAGTTGAAAGCAAACAATCCACTGAACTGGGGTTCACTGGCTCTGCTGTCATCTACGCTGCCATTACATGTCAAAATTCTACCACCAAAGGTGTAGATCATATGTTTTTCTGAATCCATACACATCTATTAGAGCAAGGCAAGAGATTGGATAGTTTCAGTTCATTCCTGTTATGCGTACGAAAGTGAAGCCAATGTGTCCAGTTTTAAATTATTGAAAAAACTGAACTTAATGACACTAAATACCAACCCTGATTATCACATGCACATACTACAAAACATGGCAGTGACTCAGGATGGATTTCTAAATACCTTTTCAGGTTTCCATTTTTCCCAGTTAGAGTAAAACATGTTGAGTTGAAGAGCTTTATAAGTTCATGAAACTAAATAATTTTTACCAGAATCAACCAATGATACATGAGGTGTTCATTTACATCTACGAGTGAATACTGATCATACTCTATGGGTGAATGCTGAGCATATCCCTTCTTATAGTGTTTCTAGGCAAGCATCCTATTGTTCTTGTTACCACTTAGTAAGAAAGCAGATATGTGCATAAGAATGATGTACCTAAATTCACTTCTCTGCATTTGTTTTACAAAACTCTACAAATTATGTTGTTACAAAATAGTAAAATAAACAAAAAAAGGCAATTCTTAGACTGACTTCTACGGTGTGATGAACTTTGCCTCCTTTTAACACAATACTCCTGCCTACTCCCCAGAATGCCTTATGCCAATCTGATTCTTGCTTACCTACAACAATAACCAGTCTTCTCTCTCTGGCAACTTCTAGGATTGTCTCTTAATCCTTGGTTTTGAAATTTCATTAACCAAAGGTCTAGGTAAGGAGTTTTTTTTTTTTTTTTTCATTTATCCTGACCTGTACTTGGTAATTCCTTTCAATGTGAAAACTTGTGTCTTTCCCCAGTTCTAGGAATTTTCTGTTTTTTCTTGCCTCCACTCTTTCTAGAACCTCTATTAGCTAGATGTTGGAACTTCAGAATGTTTTCCTCCATGTTTCTTAAATTTTTTCTCATAATTTTCAGTTCACTAATTAACTAATTTACAGGTGAGTGTGTCCATTCTGCCTTTAAATCAATTTACTGAGATTTTTATTTCACTAGCAAATTTGTAACATAATTTTTCTAACTCTCTTCAAGGAAGTTTTCTTAAATTTTATATATAAATATTTGTTCTGTTCCATTGTTTAGTTTTCTTCTTCAAGGACTCCAATTATGTGTATGTTGGATTTCTTTGCTTGTCTTCCATAGCTATAATGTTCTGGCTAATCATTTTTTATCTATTTGTTTATTTGTTCTTATTTCTATCCTATATGACCCTTACCTATTCTTCCTTATACTCCTTGTAGATCAGTCTTCATTTCTGAAAATAGTGATAAGTATTTTCTCCATTTCCTTCCTGAGTTTTACGAGATCCAGTTTCATCTGCTATTATTGGTCTGCCTCATCTGCATTCTTGAATTTACACTTTGCAGTCTTTCCTCAGAGCTTCAAGCTTCATCAGGTCTTTTAATTCATGTTAGCATATTGGGATATAATTTTCATCTGCTGTTGCCTGAAAGGAAGTTTTACTGTTTTTTTTTTTTTTTTTTTTAAAAGAGTACTTCTCTAAAGTTTTAGTGTTTATGAGTTTCTGGTTTTCATATTTAAGTAAGTTAATTTCCCTGGACTAGCTAACTTTAACAGAGGGTTCCTACAGAAGAGAGATGTTATTCGCTTAAGGATTCCATCCTCTGTTGCTACTGAACTGATTTTTTTTTTTTCCCCAAAATATGGTGCTATTGTTAAGCTATGCCTTCTCTAACTGTATGAATTTCATCTGGTTTAGGAGGGCTTCTATCTCAGGCCTTGAGATCTCCCAGCTCCTTCACTGGCCATTTCAAAAGGAGCCACTGTCCCTGGTTGTCATGGTGTTTCCCTCACCTTTAGAAGATGGTACTTTCTGACATCTACTACCTCTGGGCTTTCTGAGCACTTCCATACATTATTTCACTGAGTGCTCTGGGCTCAATCTCTGCTCTGCTCGTCACATTTTGTACTGTGATGTACCAATGCTTGGCTCCCTCTTCATTCCCAGTTATCCGTCAGTGCACTGCTGTAGGCTTCTTCACAGGTTCTGGGCATTTCAGTTGTTTTTGGCTAAACTTACAAGGAACTGGGAGCTGTGGGTTTTATTTGGCTCCTGGTTTTGCTGAATAGGTGGCTTGTGTTTCCTTTTCTTTTTGTTTGGTTCTCATTGTTCCTGAAAACCACACAAAGCAACAAAGTAGACGACTTCAAAACTAAGCTGCCACTATGTTTTTAAGAGATTCAGAAGTCTTTGAATTTTATTTTTTAAATGTTAAATTCTAAATGGCAGAGGAACATAAATATGTCTTCATGCCTCTAGCTTTCTCATGTTCTTCTCAAATTTGAATATTAAGTGTTGACTCCTACAGTGTCATGAACAGCACAAGCGATTCTGAGTAAGTTCTAATGTATTTATACCTTAATTTGCATGAAATAGAATAGAAAATGGAGGCTTACACAGATCACATTATTTGCTTAAGGTCACAGAGCTAGTTATTGACTGAATTAGGACTGAAATTCTGGTTTCTTGAGTCCTAGAGTAGCATTCTGCTACACCATCTAATCAGTTGAAAATTATTTAATAGAATGTAGCTTCCAAGGAACAGGCCACACACAAGAATTCTTTATGTGCTTCAGTCAGACTACCCCTAAGCTATTCCTTTTTTCAACCTGTAAAAACACAGACATTAACATCCTTTGAAAAAGAAATTTGTAAACACTTGGGAGCAAAAATTAAAGTATTTCCCTAATGATGTTGTTCTTTTCTATTTGTTATCTGCTGATGCTCTATTTTTAAAAGATCAGAAGCCAGACTAACTTTTGTTGGAGTTCTTATTTTCCACATGGACAACAATGAGGATGTCAGCAGGGATGCGCAGAGCTTTGCAGAGCTCAGTCATATAGAGCCAGCAGAAGTTCCAAATTAAATATGAGGATTACTTTTGACACTAATGCTTTTGATTTCTCATCTACTACTTAGTTGATAGGTATATAACCAATTCCTCTTTTTCCTTACTATTCTCCTATAACAATTACTTATTACTATGTCAGTAGGATAGTTCTAAAGCAAAGAGTTAACAAAAATCTGTAAACACACAGTAAACAAAGACTTAGATTTTTAACTGTTACATAAGATTTTAGGGCTAAGCCAGATGCTGTTATAATTCTAGTACCACCCCATTTCCCAAATACTAGCTAATACTATGTTCATCAATACAGTGTTACAGATATTTTTAAGCCTTCCTCCCATCAATCCAAAAAAACATGGGTTGAATTATACAAGTAAAATTGCCTGTAGAATTTAAAGTGGTTGCTATTTTGGTTCAGATACTGAGCTATACTGAATTGATCTGGAATAAGTATGCAAAGACTGATGACAATGATAATGACACTGATGGGGATGATGATGACAGCTATATGCACATTAATATTAAAATGGTTCACAATATTGCTATGTGTAGTCTTCTCGTCTATAACTCATTATATGACTTCTATTTGTGCTGAGTTTATGTTTAATTTAGTATATGTCAAATATCTACCCAGTTTATAATGTTTGTGGTTATAAACAAAATATATTTCACTCTAAAATCTGCCATAAGTTATTTACAGTAGACACTAGTAACATACAACTCAGCATAACATCTGAAATAAACCCTGAGACCAAGAGTTGCTGAGCACTGATTATTTCCACCACATATTTATCTGTGCACCAAACCTGATGATCAAACACCAATTTCGGTCCTCCATCGGCAGCAGTGTCCTCACTTAGTAACATCCATGTGTTCGTGTCAATGTCATAACGATAGAAGTCACTTTTCAGAGATTTGCTATTCCTCACAGAGGAATCCAAATAACGTCCCAATGTGTAGATCTGCCTTCGTTGAATGTCAATGCACATTTTATGGCATGACCTGGCACTAGGACCGTTCTGTAGAGAGCAAGAAAAACAAAAAGGAAAAAAATTTAAAGAATAACAGAAAATAAGATCAAATGCCCTTTTTTGTTGACTTTCATTACAAATATTTGCGCAGAAACTCATCTCAAGAAAACTAGAGCGTCCGACACTCTCTAAATCTCTAAAATAAAGCCAAAGCAATAGAAAACACAAATCTTACTTTGTAGCCCATAGCTCCCTGTTTATATGGCTTCTATTATAGATTGCATTGCATTTTAATCATTTACACATATAGCTCAATTCCCTAGTACATGTTAAACTACTTAAAGAAGAGTTTATATTTTTATCAGAAACAGGCACTCCAAGAATATTTGAATTTCATCACTGGAAGGAACCTTAGTAAAATTTTTAGTTTAATTTTCTCCTTTTAGAGAGGAGGAAATTTAGGCCCAGAAAAGAAAGGTATCATCCTTAAGGCTAGTTAGCTAGTGATAGAAGCAAAATAAGAATCCAAGTCTTTGATTTCTTCATCCAGTGGCCTTATATAACATTGACTCTCCTGATTGATTGATTGAATAAATAACACACCTACATTAAACAACTAAAGAATAATACAAAGAACATATATTATCAACAAAAATTTAGTGGTGATCACTTCATCACAGGATTGCATAAAAGGTAAAATATACTGTTGTATAGCCAAAAAAAGAGTTCATGAAAAAATTAAAAGGACTTCAGTCGGGCAGGGATGGATTAGTTGAAAGGGGTAAAGGAAACTAGTATTTGTTAGACATCTATTAAGTTCTGTTTATATTATTAATGTGCGTGTGTATGTTTCATTTAACCCTTATAACAATCCTGTAAGGAAATATTATCAGCATTTCACAAAGTCTAAGCAATTTGCCCATAGTCACAGAACTAGGAAGCGTAGAGGATCTAAGCCCCAGTGTGACCTGTGCCCAAAACTGTGTTCTTTCCACTAGTCCAGGCTGTCTTTCCAGAATATAAGAGAAAAAAATGCAAAAATGCACTTGTTGTGTGTGGTCATGACTAACATGAAGAGTTCTTGCTGCAGAAATTATAGAGTACAACTAGAAGGTGGACATAGGAAGCTTGGTGAATGCCTGATCAAGGAGCTTGGACACAATCTCACAAGTAATAAAGAACTGTTACAGGTTCCTAAAGCAGAATGAAAGAAGCCCTCGTGGTGCAGTGGTTAAGTGCTCAGCTGCTAACTAAAAGGCTGGCTGTTTGAACCCATCAGCCACTCTAAGGGAGAATGACCTGGCAGTCTGCTTCCGTAAAGATTACAGTCTTTGAAACCCTATGGGGCAGTTCTACTCTGTCCTATAGGGTTGCTATGCTGACTTGATGGCAATGGAAAGCAGAAAATAAAATTAAAGAAAGTCATGAAACAAAAGAGTAATCTAGCAGTATTATTTAGATTAAATGAAGGAATAAAGACGTTGGGCAGGAAAAACAGTAGATGATTAGTGTTATTAATTCAAATGTTAAGTTGATTTGAATCTGCACTTTAGTATTCACATTAACTACTATTTTAAAACTTGCTTTTAAAGATTTTTGTCAAAGAAAATTTTCAACAGAAAAGGTGGATATTTTATTTAACAAAGAATTTTCTCCATAAACAATTTCAAAAACAAAGAGGGAGTAACATACAATAAATCTATGCCATATCTTGTACAGTGTGAAATTTGAAATTTTAATAGAATTAACAGAATTTCTTGATTCTGGATAATTAGCACAAGCACTATTAAAATGGTGAGCAAATTTATATACTAAGTAAGAAGAAAAGAGAAAGTAAAAATTAGAAATCATGGGATAAAAAAGACAGAAAAGAGAAAATGAACGAAGTTGGTTCTTTGAAAGATTAATAAAATCATAAACCACTAGCAAGACTAATTTTAAAAAATAGAAAAGAAAGCACAAACCACCAATATTAGAAATGCAGCAGAAATATCATTACAGACTCTCTAGAAATAAAAAAGAAAATAAGGGACTTGAATGAAAAACCTAGACAAAAATTTGAAAATGTAGATAAAATGGACATATTACTTGGAAAAAAAAAGAGAACTTACCAAAATTGACATGGGATGAAAGAGATAATGTGAAGTCATTGTATCTACTGAAAAACTGAATTCATAATTTAAAACTTTCCACAAAGAAAATTCCAGTCCAAGATATCTACATCAGTAAATTTTATTAAACATTTAAGGAAGAAATAATATACCAATCTTACACAAAATCATTCGTAAAATAGCAGAGGAAGGAAAACTTCCTAACATTTTATGATGACAACATAACAATGACACCAAGTAACAAGAATATTACAAAGGAGAGGGAGGAGGAGAAATAATTTACAGGCTAACATCCTTCATGAACATAGACACAAAACTAATCTTTAACTGAATACTATCAAACACAATGCAGCAATGTATAATAAGAATAACATCTCATGAACAAAGGAGTTTATCTCAGGAACACAAAGTGGATTTTACATTTGAAATTCAATCAAGGTAATTTGCCATATTACCAGAATAAAGGAGAAAAAACATATGATTATGTCAATATATGTAGAAAAACATTTGGTAAAATTCAACACATATTCATAATAAAAACTTGCAGTACACTAAGAATATACAGAAACTCCCCCAATCTGATAAAGGATGTACAAAAATCTTTAATATTCCACTTGACAGTAAAATATTGAATGCGTTCTTCATAAATTCTGAAACAAGACAAGTATGACTATTCTTACCACTTTTATTTAACATTGTACTTGGAAGTCCTAGCCAGTGCAGTAAGGCAATAAAAAATAACATAACAAAAAATTATAAAGGAAAAAAGAGTTTGGAAAGAAGTAACTGTGTTTCTATTCACATCTGACATGACTATTAAAGGCATCCTAAGAAACGAACAAAGAAACTATTAGAAATAAGTGGATTTAGTAAAGTCACATGATACAAAGACAAATTCAAAAACCAACTGTACTTCTCTATACCGACAACAAACAATTAGAAAATAAAATTTTTTAAATTTTATTTACAACAGCATGAAAAAACAAAATACACTGGATCAACTTAATAAAATTATCCAAGGCCTCTAACCTGAAAACTCCAAGAGTGCTGAGAAGTAATGAAGATGACTGATATAAATGGAGATTAAACCATGTTCATGGAGTAGAAGAACCAATATTATTAAGACATCAATTCTCTCCATGGTGACTCATAGATTTATCACATTCCCAATTGTAATCCCAGCAATTTTAGAAATTGGCAGTATGATTCTAAAATTTATATGAAAATGAAAAAGACCCAGAGGAGCTTTTGAAATAGAATAATTTAAATCTTTTGAAAAAGAATAGCAAAGTGGTATTACCTGACCTCATGACTTTATACTATAAAGCTACAGTAATCAAAGAAGTGTGATACTGGTATAGGACTAGATCAAAAGAAGAGAGAGGCCAAAAGAGCCACACACTTACATGATTAATGGATTTTTTACAAAGATGTCAAAGCAATTCAATAGGGGAAAGAAAGTCTTCATTAATTGCTGCTGGAACAACTGGATATCCATATGGAAAGAAATGAACCTCAACTCCTACTTCACACCATACATAAAAATTAACTCGAGATAGATCACAGATCTAAACATGAAAGCTAAAACTATACAGTAGAGAAATCACAAAAATATCTTCGCAAAGTAAAGCAGGCAAGGATGTATTATATATAAAGCAATAACCATAAAAAAGAAAAAAACTGATAAATTCGACTACATCAAAATTAAAAATTTCTGCTCATCAAAAAACATTAAGAAAATAAGTAAGCAAGCCACAGACTGGGAGAATATATTTACAAAATACAGTAAATGATAAAGGACTTGTATCCTAAATATGTAAAAAAGAAAAAAGACTTCTACAATTCAAAATTAAAAAGAAACTAAACCTCTTATTATTTTTTTTTTAAAACAAGGAAAAGGCTTGAACAGAAACCTCACAAAAGGAGATATATGAATGGTCAATTAAGCACATGAGAGTAATGCACACTGAAACCACAATTAAGATACTACTCCACATAGACCAAAAAACACTAATACTAAAAAGACCGACAATACCAAATATTGGAGAAGAGGTGTTGCAACCAGAACTCTTATACATTGTTGTCAGAAGGATAATATGGTACAACCACTTTGGAAAAGTTTTAACAGTTTCATCTATAGATGCTAAAACTAGTGGATGAAAGTTTGATGAGCAATAAGATAATTTTATCATCAAAGTATCCTGCCACAAATTACTTATTACTTATAAAGAAATCCAAAGAAACCTTATCAAAGCCAACATCAGAAAAACTGACATAATGTATCTCCTGAAATGATACACTGAGGAGGACTCAATGTCATCCATATGATATTACTGCTAAAAAGATATAACCTATATCCATTCATGAGAAAATAACAGACAAATCCAACTGAGGGACATTCTACAAAATAACTGCCTTCAAAAAAGACATGAAAGCTGAGGAACTGTTCCAGACTAAAGGAGACTAACGAACCATGACAACTAAATGCAATGTATGATCATGGACTAAATCCTGGGTCAGGGATGAGAGTGTGTGTTGACAGTGGGACATGTATAAAAATATTACTGGGACATTATTAGGATAATTGTCTATATCTGAACAGGACTGTGAATTAGACTAGAACAGCAGTTCTCAGTGCAGTCTGGGGTCTTCAAGACCCTTTCAAGGGGTCGACAAGGTCAAAGCTATTCTCATAATAATACTAAGGTAAAAATTTGTCTTTTTTACTCTCATTCTCTCATGCGTGTACAGTGGAGTTTTCCAGAAACAACAAGACTTTTGATATAGTAACAGACTGAATTCAGAAGCAATTATGAACCCAGCTGTCTTCTATTAAGCCAAACATTAAAAAGATTTAGGGAACTATAAAACAATGACACTTGAAGTATGATGGCTGTCTTGAGGAAAAGCACCTATGTGATTGAGTTGTGAGCTGAC